GGAAAGGGGGGGGGACGGTACCGGGGGGGGACAGGAGGGGACGGGGGGGGACAGGGGGGACAGGAGGAGACAGGGGGGACAGGAGGGGACAGGAGGGGACACGGAGGAACGGGGGGAACAGGGGAGGGACAAGGGGGACAGAGGCCGGTACCAACCCGGGGGGGCGCGGCCGGTACCAATGGGGGGGGCAGGGGGGACAGGGTCGGTACCAACTGAGGGTGAAGAGGGAACCAGGGGAGGGGGCTGGGAGGAAACACCCCCCCCCGAGAGCCTGAGATGGTCCAAACTGCACCCCAGAATGGGTTAAAATCCACCCCAAAATGGGTCAAACCCCACCATGAAACAGGTCAGAAATTCGGCCTAAAATGGGTCAAGATTTCACCCCCAAAGTGGGTCAAAAATTCACCCGGAAACGGGTCAAAATTCGCCCCAAAACGAGTCAAAATCCATCCCAAAGTGGGTCCAAAATTCAGCCCAAAATGGGTCCAAAATTCAGCCCAACACAGGTCAGAATCTGTCCAGAAATTATTCCAAATCCATCCTGTAATTGGTTAGAATTCCATGAGAAATGGGTCCAAAATTCCCTCCCGAAATCAATCCAAATCCATCTCAAAATGGGTCAAAATCCATCCGGAGACCCCAAAAGGGGTGAAAATCCCCAAATCCACCCTGAAACGGGTCAAAATCCATCTGGAAATGGGCCAAAACCCACCTGGAAACAGCTCCAAAATCCATCCTTGAAACGAGTCCAAAATCCACCTTTTTTTCCCCCCCCGACCCAAAAAAACCGCTGGAATTTGCTCCGTGGGTTCGTTCCTTCCCCGTGTTGTCGATCCTTTCCCGTCATCATCCAAAAAAAAAAAAAAGGCGCCACATTTTCCCGGGATAAACCCGGGGGGGGGGGGGGGAAATCCGGTGGGATCCGACATTCCAGGTGATCCCAAAACCCCTTTGGGAGCGGTGCTTCCCCCCCCGGGAGGGCTCCCCCCGCGCTGGGAATGGCCCCGTGTCCCCGTTGGGATCCGTTATCCCGGTTTTTCCCCCCCCCCGGGAGGGCTCCCCCCGCGCTGGGAATGGCCCCGTGTCCCCGTGGGGATCCGTTATCCCGGTTTTCTCCCCCGGGAAGGTTCCCCCCGCACTGGGAATGGCCCCGTGTCCCCGTGGGGATCCGTTATCCCATTTTTCCCCCCCGGGAGGGGTCCCCCCGCACTGGGAATGGCCCCGTGTCCCTGTTGGGATCCGTTATCCCGGTTTTCCCCCCCCGGGAGGGCTCCCCCCGCGCTGGGAATGGCCCCGTGTCCCCGTGGGGATCCGTTATCCCGGTTTTCCCCCCTGGGAGGGCTCCCCCCGCGCTGGGAATGGCCCCATGTCCCTGTTGGGATCCGTTATCCCGGTTTTCCCCCCTGGGAGGGCTCCCCCCGCACTGGGAATGGCCCCGTGTCCCTGTTAGGATCCGTTATCCCGGTTTTCCCCCCCCCTGGGAGGGCTCCCCCCGCGCTGGGAATGGCCCCGTGTCCCCGTGGGGATCCGTTATCCCGGTTTTCCCCCCGGGAAGGCGCCGCCATGTCCCTGTGCCAGCGGGGGATGAAGCGGAGCCCGGGCGAGGCCGAGGGCTGCTCCTTCCCGGCCGGGCCCGGGCTCAAGGTGTTCCTGCACTGGAGCGGGGAGGAGGAGCGGGAGCGCTGCCGGGTCTATTCCCAGGGCTCCCTCAGCGCCGAGGAGATCTGCATCGACCTCGCCCGCAGGATCGGTGAGTGCCGGCGAGGACGGACCCCCCCCCGGGAATTCCCGGGGCTCTGCTTCCCGGGAATCCCGCTGGATTTCGCCCCCGGGCCGAGAAGTTCCCGGGAGGCCCGGCTGGGTTTGCGCCGCTGGGAGGGGTGGGAAGGACGGGGTGGGAAAGGGGTGTGGTGGTGAAAGCCTTGGAATTGTGTCCCGGCAGGAATCACCCCGTTGTGTTACAGCCTCTTCGCCCTCTACGACCCCCAGGGCCGGGTGTGGCTCCCCCCAAACCACCAATTCCAGGTGGGAAAAGACACCAACGTCCACCTGATCTTCAGGATGAGGTGAGGCCTCTGCCCCCCCAGCCCGGGGCCTTTCCAGAGCTCAGCCCTGGGCACCATTCCCGGCTTTTCCTTGGGGTTGTGCCGGAAGGAACGTCAGGTTTTCCCACCTCTTTGCTCCCGGGGGTTACGTGTTTCCAGGTTGTCCATGTCCAGATTTCTTTGGGAAACCCGGCAGGGCTGGTCCAGCTGGGGAATGTTATGGATTTAGAGCCCCTGCCTCCCCTCCAGCACGGAAAGATCCGTTTCCTTATTCCAAGTATTTCTCCCTGGGGCTCCTTGTTCGTTCTCCCACCTCTCAGCCCGGGGACAACGCCCCATCCAAAGGTTTCTGGGACCAACAGGGAACATCCAGGGGCTGCTTCCCGTCACTTCCCAGTCCGGATTCACCCCCTGTGCCCAAATCCCACCTTTTTTACGGATGTGGTTTTCCTGTGCTTTCAGGACCTTTTATTCCTAAAATAAACCCCCAAACCCCCCGGGTTTGAGCCCGGACTGTGACTCCCGGCCCGGCCCCAGCCCCTCTCCCTCTCCTCCTCCCCCCTTTCCAGGTACTATTTCCGGAACTGGCACGGGATGAACGACAAGGAGCCGGCGGTTTTCCGGAATGTGCCTCGTCCGGGGGATTCCCTGGAGGAAAAACCCTCTGGGGGAGCTTTGCTGGACAGATCCTCCTTCGAGTACCTGTTCGAGCAGGTGACGGGGCTGGGGCTGGGAAAAACCGGGAGGAATTCCCTTCAGTCCGGCGGGAGTTGGGAAAACTGGGAGGAATTCCCTGAAATCCCTCCGGATTTGGCTCCAGCCTGTTGCCAGGATCCGTTTTTTTCCATCTCCAGGCATTTATTTGAAGGATAAACACCCCCCCCCCCCCCCCCCCAGTTTTCCCTTTGGAAAGGTTTTATCCTGCTGGAAGCTTCGCCGGGTGGGATTCCGGAATTCTTTTAGGGATAATTTGGCCTGGGAAGGGGTTTTTTAATTGGGGTTGGTTTTATTTAAATCTGAAGTTAAATATTTATTGATTTGTTTTTGTCCCACCTTTAAAATTAAGGGTGGGATAATAAAGGAATGTTACTTTAAATTAATTAATTTAATTTAGTTTAATTAAGAGAGGGAACTAGTGGAAAATCCCTGCTCAGGGAATTCAGCTCGGGGATGTGGTTTTTTTTCCCCAATCATCCCATTTTTTTTTTTGCCAGGGAAAATTCGAGTTCATCCACGACGTCGCCTCCCTGAGGGATTTCCGGAGCGAGCCCGAAATCCAGAGGTTCAAGAACGAGAGCCTGGGAATGGCTGTGCTCCACCTCTCCCACATCGCCCTCAGAAAGGGCATTTCCCTGGAGGAAGTGGCCCGGAAATACAGGTGACTGGGAAGCCCTGCTTTGCCCCTCCTTTTCCCACCCTTCTCCCTCCTTCTTTTCCTCACTGGAAACCCAGGGCTGGTTTCCCTGGAACTTGGGATGCCCAGAGAGCCCCAGGAAAAGCCTCTGGAGAATCTGGTGTGGGATGGATTGGGATGGGAATGGACGGGAATGTTGGGTGGGATTGGGACGGGAATGGATTGGAATGTTGGGTGGGATTGGGATGGGAATGGACTGGAATGTTGGGTGGGATTGGGATGGGAATGGACTGGAATGTTGGGTGGGATTGGGATGGGAATGGACTGGAATGTTTGGTGGGATTGGGATGGGAATGGACGGGAATGCTGGGTGGGATTGGGATGGGAATGGACTGGAATGTTTGGTGGGATTGGGATGGGAATGGACGGGAATGTTGGGTGGGATTGGGATGGGAATGGACTGGAATGGGAATGGACTGGAATGTTTGGTGGGATTGGGACGGGAATGGACTGGAATGTTGGGTGGGACTGGGATGGGAATGGACTGGAATGGGAATGGACTGGAATGTTTGGTGGGATTGGGATGGGAATGGGCTGGAATGTTGAGTGGGATTGGGATGGGAATGGACGGGAATGTTTGGTGGGATTGGGATGGGAATGGACGGGAATGCTGCCTGGGATTGGGATGGGAATGGACGGGAATGCTGCCTGGGATTGGGACGGGAACACCGGGAACCATTCCGGACAACCCGGGGCGGGGCGGAAAAGCCGATCCCGAGCTCTCCCCGAGCCGTCACTCCCCGTTTTCCCCCCCCCGTGACAGCTTCAAGGACTGCATCCCGCGCTCCTTCCAGCGGCAGATCCAGCAGAACAGCCTCCTGACGCGCTTCCGCATGCGCAGCGTCTTCCGGCGCTTCCTGCGGCGCTTCCAGCGGCACACGGTGGGCGCCGGGCGGCTCTCGGAGCGGGACCTCATGGCCAAGTACCTGGCCACGCTGGAGCTGCTGGCGCCGCGCTTCGGGAGCGAGCTCTTCCCGGCCCTGGCCCTGGAGGCGGCGGCCGAGGGGGACAAGGGGCCGCCCGGCGCCAACGGGGCCCCCCCGGAGCCGGGGCCGGAGCCGGGGCGGCCCCTGATCCCGCGGGACCCGCCCGTCACTCACCACGTCCTGGTCTCCGGCACCGCCGGCATCCAGTGGCGCCCGGCGCCGCCAGAGGTGGGTCGGGGTCCTTCCCGTCCCAGTCCCACGTTGGGAGCTTCCCAAGGGGGCTCCGGGGGTGTCCAGAGCTCATCCCGGCTGGCCCAGAGCCTTTCCCGGGATTCCCGTCCCAATCCCACCCAGCATTCCAGTCTATTCCCATTCCAGTCCATTCCCATCCCAATCCCACCCAACATTCCAATCCATTCCCATCCCAGTCCATTCCCATCCCAATCCCACCCAACATTCCAGTCCATTCCCATCCCAGTCCCACCCAACATTCCCGTCCATTCCCATCCCAGTCCCACCCAACATTCCAGTCCATTCCCATCCCAGTCCCACCCAACATTCCCGTCCATTCCCATCCCAGTCCCACCCAACATTCCAGTCCATTCCCGTCCCAATCCCACCCAGCATTCCAGTCCATTCCCATCCCAATCCCACCCAGCATTCCAGTCTATTCCCATTCCAGTCCATTCCCATCCCAGTCCCACGCCACGTTCCCGTCCGCTCCCATCCCAATCCATCCCACACCGGATGCTTCCCAGGCTTTTCCTGGGGCTCTCTGGACATCCAGAGTTCCTTTCCAGCTTATCCCAGTTTGCCCCGAGCCTTTCCCAGCATTCCCATCCCTGTCCCACCCCACCCCATCTCCAGGCTTTTCCCGGGGCCCCTCCTCATCCCGGTTTCCCCAGTACCCCCCCCCGACCCTTCCAGCAGCCGGAGACCCTGGAATTGTCCCCTCTGCCCCTCCGCAGAGCGCGGAGCCCTTCTCCCAGCGCGGCTACTTCGGGAGGAAGGGCCGGACCAAGGAGCCGGATCCCAAGGCCGCGGCGCGGCCGCCGGAGCCCAGCGAGCCCCCCTGGTGCCACTTCTGCGACTTCCGGGAGATCACCCACGTGGTGGTGAAGGATTCCCGGATCAGCATCCACCGGCAGGACAACCAGTGCCTGGTGAGCGGCGCCGGCGCCCTCCCGGGATCCCGGCAGGAGGATTTTCCCGGCGTTTGCCGAGGGGGTTTCGGGGCGGTCGGGGCTCAGCCCTGGTGATTCCTGTTGGCAGGAGGTGGCTCTGCCGTCGCCCGGGCTCGCCCTGTCCCTGGTGTCGCTGGTGGACGGATATTTCCGGCTCACGGCCGATTCCAGCCATTACCTGTGCCACGACGTGGCCCCGCCCCGGCTCCTCCTGAGCATCCGCCACGGCATCCACGGGCCCATGCAGTGAGTGGGGGACAGGGGGGATGATCCCGGGCCTCGGGGCTCATCCGGAGCTGCTCCCTGTCCTCGGGGCTCAGCCGGAGTCCTTTCCTGCCCTCGGAGCTCTCCCGGAGTGTTTTGTCTCCTCAGGGCTCATCCAACCCCATTCCATGTCTCCTGGGCTCATCCAACCCCATTCCATGTCCCCTGGGCTCATCCAACCCCATTCCAGGTCCACTGGGCTCATCCAACCCCATTCCAGGTCCCCTGGGCTCATCCAACCCCATTCCAGGTCCACTGGGCTCATCCAACCCCATTCCATGTCCTCAGGGCTCATCCAACCCCATTCCATGTCCCCTGGGCTCATCCAACCCCATTCCATGTCCCCTGGGCTCATCCAACCCCATTCCATGTCCTCAGGGCTCATCCAGAGCCATTCCCTGTTCTCAGGGCTCATCCAGGTGTCCTTGAGGCTCTCCCAGAGTCATTCCCTGTTTTTTGGGTTCATCCCAAGCCATTCCCTGTCCTTGGGGCCCCCCTGGAGCTGTTTCCTGCTCTTGGGAGCTCTCTTGGAGAGCTCCATCTCCTTGGGGCTCATCCAACACCATTCCACAGCCTCTGGTTCCTCTGGAGCCATCCCACGTCCTTGGGGCTCATCCCAATCCGTTCCCTGTCTCCTGCTCCCAGGGAGGAGTTCGTTTTTGCCAAGCTCCGCCGGGAGGAGCCGGAGGAAGGGCTTTACATCCTCCGCTGGAGCGTCCTGGATTTCAACCGGATGATCCTCTCCGTGGTCAAACGGAGCCAGCAGCAGGTAGGAGGCGATTCCCGGCGCAGCATTCCCGGGAATCGCGGGCCCTGCTCTCCCTCGGGATGCGCCGGGAGCTGCGGAGCCGCCGCTCCCCGCCCCCACTCCCCTTTTCCAGGCCCCCGGAACGCCGGGAGCCTTCAAGTTCCGGCAGTTCCGGATCCAGAAGAAGGGAGAGTCCTTCGTGCTGGAGGGCTGGGACCGGGAATTCCCCTCCCTGCGGGAGCTGCTGGACGTGCTCAAGGGCTGCACCCTCCGCTCCGGGGAGGAAAACTTCACGGTGAAGAGGTGCTGCCCCCCCAGACCGGGAGGTACGGACACGGATCGGCCCCCGGCATTGGGAATGGTGGGAATGGCGGGAATCCGGGAGCTCACGGGGCCCTCCCCTCCCTCTCCCAGAGATCTCGGACCTGCTGATCACGAGGAAGGTGAAGGACAACGGGAAGCAGATCCTGAACCTCACCCAGCTCAGCTTCCACCAGATCCGCAAGAACGAGATCACCCAGGTGCTGCTCTCCCGGGATTTGGGCTGCTCTGCTTTCCCGGGATTCGGGACTGGGGGGTGGAAGGACCTGCTCTGCCTTCCCGGGATTCCTGGAATTGGGGAGGGATCCTCTCTGCCTTCCCAGGATTCTTGGGGATGGAGGGAGCTGCTCTGCCTTCCCAGGATTCCTGGAATTGGGGAGGGATCCTCTCTGCCTTCCCAGGATTCACCCCAGATCCCGGGATCCAGAGCGGGAGGATCCTCCCACCCCCCTGGGCCAGTTTGGGGATTGTTTCGATCTTTCATTCCTTCCATTTTCAAGGAAAAGGGGGGGAAGATCCACATGGAAGCAGCTTTTCCCACAGTGGGGTACAGAGGGAAGCCGGGGGGGGGTCGGATGAGGATTCCCACCCTCCTGTCACCATTCCAGAGGGTCCAACACTTGCCCTTTTCCCTGTTTTCCCAGCGAGCCCACCTGGGCCAGGGCACCCGGACCAACATCTACGACGGGGTCCTGACGGTCTGCGGGAATTCCGGGAACGACCGGACCAACATCTACGACGGGGTCCTGACGGTCTGCGGGAATTCCGGGAACGACGACGAGGCCGAGTACTTTTCCACGGAGCAGAACAACAACAGCCGGGAGATGCACGTGATCCTCAAAGTCCTGGATCCCAGTCACAGGGACATCGCCCTGGTGAGCCCCCCCGGGGTGGGATACGGGGGGAAAACCGGCATCTGAGCGGTGGGATACGGCTCCAGGGGGTGGAATGGACTGTGCATATGAGGGGTGGAACGTGGCTCAGGGGGCTGGAATACGGATCCAGGGGGTGGAATGTGGCTCCAGGGGCTGGAATGTGGCTTTAGGGAATGGGATACGAATCCAAGGCTGCAACACGGCTCCAGGGGTTGGAATATGGTTGCAAGGGCTGGAACACGGATCCAAGGGGGCTGGAACATGGTTCCAGGGGCTGGAATGTGGCTCTGGGGGTTGGAATGTGACTCCAAGGGCTGGAACACAGTGCCAGGGGCTGGAATATGAATCCAGGGGGGCTGGAACGTGGCTCCAGAAGGGCTGGAGTGTGGCTCCGGGATGCTCCCTGGCTGCTCCGGAATTCCAGGGCCCGGCTGACATTCCCGGGGCTGTTCCCACAGGCCTTCTTCGAGGCCGCCAGCCTGATGAGCCAAGTGTCCCACGTCCACCTGGCCTTCGTCCACGGGGTCTGCGTGCGCGGCTCCGAGAGTGAGTGGGACCCCATTCCCCCCTTTCCCTGGGACCCCATTCCCCCTTTCCCTGGGACCCCATTCCCACCTTTCCCTGGGACCCCATTCCCCCTTTCCCTGGGACCCCATTCCCCCTTTCCCCGGGGCCCCATTCCCCCTTTCCCTGGGACCCCATTCCCCCCTTTCCCTGGGACCCCATTCCCCCTTTCCCTGGGACCCCATTCCCCCCTTTCCCTGGGACCCCATTCCCACCTTTCCCTGGGACCCCATTCCCGCCTTTCCCCGGGACCCCATTCCCCCCTTTCCCCGGGACCCCATTCCCCCTTTCCCCGGGCCCCCCAATCCCCCTTTCCCCGGGGGGGGGGGGGTGTTTTATTGGGGGGAGGGGGGGGGGGGGGGGAGGGGGGGAGGGGGGGGGGGGGACCCATTCCCCCCTTTCCCTGGACCCCATTCCCACCTTTCCTGGGGACCCCATTCCCCCTTTCCCCGGGGGGGGGACCCATTCCCCTTCCCTGGGACCCCATTCCCCTTCCCTGGGGGACCCCCTTCCACCTTTCCCCGGGGGACCCCATTCCCCCTTTCCCTGGGACCCCATTCCCCCTTTCCCCGGGGCCCCATTCCCCCTTTCCCTGGGACCCCATTCCCCCCTTTCCCTGGGACCCCATTCCCCCTTTCCCTGGGACCCCATTCCCCCCTTTCCCTGGGACCCCATTCCCACCTTTCCCTGGGACCCCATTCCCGCCTTTCCCCGGGACCCCATTCCCCCCTTTCCCCGGGACCCCATTCCCCCTTTCCCCGGGCCGTCCCCGGAGCGGGGCCGGGCAGAGCCTCCCTGTGTCCCGCAGACATCCTGGTGGAGGAGTTTGTGGAACACGGGCCCCTGGACGTGCTGCTGCGCAAGGAGAAGGGCCGGATCTCCGTGGGCTGGAAAATCACCGTGGCCAAACAGCTGGGAAGTGCCTTGAGCTACCTGGTAATGGGAACGGGGCTCTTCCAGCCGGGAATTCTCAGCGGGATCCTCCCCTGCAGCTTCCCCAGGGGATAATCCCGTTTTTAGGGTTATTCTGCCCCATCCCTGCTCCCTCTTCCCTGGGAAGGAACATCCTGGGGAGAGGGGGAATTCAAATCCCAAATCCTGGCTCTGTAGGTTCAGTTCGGAGCTGGGAAAAGCCATGGATGAGGATGGGATCCCAACCAGGGGCTTGGGAATGGTGTTGGAAAACCCTCCCCATCCTTTTATTCCCTGCTCCCGGTTTATCCTGGAGCAAAATCCCAGGACAGGGAGATGACACAGAGAATTGGAGCCAGGAATCCCGCTTTCTTGTTTTATCTTGGAATCCCTGAGCTTGACCTCGTCCTGCTGCATCACTGGGAGCTTTCCCAAGGTTTCCTTTGTTTTATCCCAGGAGGATAAAAACCTGGTGCACGGGAACGTGTGTGCCAAGAACATCCTGCTGGCCAGGAAAGGGCTGGAAGACGGATCCGCTCCCTTTGTGAAGCTCAGCGATCCCGGGATCAGCTTCACGGTGCTCTCCCGGGAAGGTGCGGGATCATCCCGGCCTGGAGCTGGCCAGGGGTGGAATTCCCAGTGGAAAATCCGGGCGGTTTTTCCCCCCTTCCCTCATGAATCCCACGGATTTTGCCGGAGCCGTTCTGCCAAAATCTTCCCTGCTTTCCCAACGTGAATTTCCCCGATATTTGGCATTTTGGATGTGGGAATTCTGCCTGGTTTTGGCTCAAACCCTCCATCGGGGCTGATCCCCCCCTCGGTGTCCGGCCTCTCTCCGAGACCCTTCCCCACAGGATCTCTCCCGTTTCCCGCAGAGCGCGTGGACCGGATTCCCTGGATCGCCCCGGAATGCGTCCGGGATGTGGGAAACCTCAGCACGGCCGCCGACAAGTGGAGCTTTGGGACAACCCTCCTGGAAATCTGCTTCGACGCCGACGTCCCGCTGAAGGAACGAACCCCTTCCGAGGTGCCACTCCAGGCTTTTTGGGCCCTATCCCGCCATTTTAGACCTTATCCCACCATTTTGGGCCATATCCCGCCATTTTAGGCTGTATCCCACCATTTTGGCCTGTATCCTGTCATTTTAGGCCCTATCCCACCATTTTAGGCCCTATCCCACCATTTTAGGCCATATCCCACCATTTTAGGCCATATCCCGCCATTTTAGGCCGTCTCCCGCCATTTTGGGCCATATCCCACCACTTCGGGCCATATCCCACCATTTTGGGCCATATCCCGCCATTTTGGGCCGTCTCCCGCCATTTTGGGCCGTCTCCCGCCATTTTAGGCCGTATCCCACCATTTTGGGT